CTTTTACGTGTGCAGCATACAGTGAGCCATGCTTAGTCATTTCAGCACTGTTAAGCAGAAAAAGCTATTAAGATGAAAGAAGTTGCTTGACTCAAAAGAGGCAGGTAAGTTAGTCAACAGAAACATTTGTTTATTAAGTTCTTTAATATTGTTCCATTACCAGAACTAGGGCAATACCTTTTTAATATGGCTAACATACCCTTACAGAGGCTTTCTGCGTGTTGCTGCAGTATGTTCCTTTTCTTTGATGAAGTCATTGTTCCACAATTTGCTGTGGACATTACCTACTTGGGGGCAAAAGAAACCAAGATACACAAACAAGGAAAGCTTAATACTTTCCTGGGCATGCTGAGCTCCCTCTTGGAATTCAGTGGGAGCCATGGCTGTTTGATAGTTCTAAAAGCTGGTCTACCACCTGTTAGTTGGGTTTGAAACTGTTGGCAAATTGATTCTGAAAGCTTTAGCTGTCAAATGTCTTTGGTGTGCTAAACCTGCACTGCAATAGTATGCAGTCATGCACTGTTCCTTCACTCGAGCATGATGCTGTGGCTCTTATTTCTTGTTTGATTTGGCTTCCTCTGTAGTCCTGCCTTGGTCCCAGGAAGGAGAAGAATGAGTATCAAGGGAAAGACAACCCTTAGGGTGGTCAAATGTCAGCAGATTTAAAAGAAAAAAGAAAAGTATTCTTAAAACCTTATTATGATATCTTTTGATTTTTTTTTTTTTTTAAAGGCCTGTTAACAACGGACCTATTGGAAGAAAAGGTAGTTGATGCTAAACTCATGTAAAACTGAAGGCTCTTAGTTTCCCATTTTTATTTTTTTTTTCTTCTAGTAATTTTTTATAAATAGTTCAATGACTTCGTGATGTTTCTGAAAGCAAATTAGCTTTTGTCCCCAAACTGCTCAAGACACAGAACCAAAAAATCCTTCTAGTTGATACAGACTCATTGCTTGGAACAGGTTAAGTTTAGTGAAGTAATAATCTCAACTAAAGGCTCGAAGTGCATAAAAGGATTGGAAGGGACCTGTTAAGGATGAGCATCTAGTGACCTGAATTCCTAGACACTAGTGCAAATGCTTTAACTTCTTCTGATTTTCATTTGAATTTATTAGTAGAGCAGTTTATTTCTCTGATGTAATACCAAGGCTATATTTTGGCTCAGAATCTTTGCTCTGGGCCAAAGAAGCCAAGTTTTTCCTAGTTGTCTTTTGGTATAGTTAAGCTCTTTGTCATCTTACTAGCCCCTCTTTGCAACAAACCTGGTTTGAGTTGCATTTTTCTTAGAGGTGGGTGACGTGAGCTGCACTCAGCTTTATTCAGTGAGGCCTCAGACTTGTAGAACATACTAGTCATACTTCTTTTCCTAGAAATACCTTTCCTGGTGCATCCCAGACCTCATTTGCCATTTTGGTGGTTCTTAGTCATTCTGTGCTCAGGTATGAGCAACGTTTGGCAACCTTTGTGTAAGATGCTGTTGCCATCCCTGTTTGTACCTGTGCTACCCTGCAGAAGGATTTAAGGTGAATGTGATGACTCATATGGACGTCAGCTTCCTGTCCTGGGCAAGGTAGATGGTATTCCTTCTAGTGAGATCATCTGACTGTTCTGCTGCATCCCTGTACCTTTCTGGGAATGTGTCAATCTCTTATCAGGTTGGGTTGTGAAACCACTGGGTCAGCTGTAGGTGTCTAATTGCAGGATGCAGATTGTATTTCTTGTCATAATTAGGTGTCGGACTGAGAGAGCTTTGAGACATGGAGTACAATGTCGTGAGTTGCCAGTAGATCCTCAGAGACTCATGTCCGTTCCCGAATTTCAGAATTGCTGAGACAGTAGAAAAAGTGCTCTAGGACTTAGCTTGTTTTTGCATCTCCGGGTTTTGCTACTGAGGGAGCCAGACTTTCAACGAGCAAAATGTCAGTTGGGTGGTGTCACAGCAGGCACTGAAAAGAAGAGTTTAGTGAGGGGAAACAAATTCCTTTCTTCTGGTATAGCTACCTTCTTCACTGCTCTGCCAGAGTTCATAGGGTTGCATTTGCAAGTCTTGTAGGATTGCAGGCTTGTGTAGGCTGATGGTATATAAAGAGTCCTTGTGCTTGAAGGATTTCTAAGATAGCAAGCCAGCTAAGGACGTGAAGAGCTTAGATGCTGTACTGTGGCACTTTTGTACAGTGGTCAAATGCTGAATACAATCCTGGTTTTCAGAGGTCTCCAGTAAACTTCCCTTTGTTAGTATGCTGTTTGCTGGTTTGCTGTGTACAGTACTGTCTTCGTGCTCTTGGTGGCTGTTTGGTTTGTTTGAGAACAGGGCCTGCTTCAAATGGGAATTTTCTTGCAGTATGTATTTGGGCTTCTTGATAGTTAAAATTGTGACAGTGCATGAAACACACCTTGTTTGCTCGTTGAGTTGCATGAAATAACCCACACTTTTCATCTTGATCTGTTTTCTCTCCTTATCTTGCCTTTGTAAACTCCAGCAGGAGTTAAAAACCTGTTCTGGTTTTAAAGGGTTGTTCTCACACAATTGACAGTGGGTGATTGTAGTTTGTGATTAAGCTGCATCCCAGAAGACATAGATTTGGACCCCTGCTCTTAATTACTCTTACAGCCCAGCATGAAGGTGACAGTACATGTAGGTTTTTGTGCTTCTTGAGAGAGAGCTGTAACAGCTCTGTATCAAAGTAGGTAGCATCTTCCTCCCTAAAATGCTGCAAAATAATTAGCTGAGTGCTTTTGAGAACTAGGGTTTGCATTTCTCTGTAGCCTGATTGACAACACTGCTCCGGTCAGGTGCTGAGGACTGAGTGACAGTGGTCTGAGTCCTGGGGATCTTCGGCTTCTGAAGCCAGAACGGAAACTTTAGAGGCAAACAGCATGGACCTATTTTTATTTTGCTGTTTCTCTAAAAGTGAATTAATGGGAGTTTACAGCAAGGTTCCAGGTGAGAGAGAGGTCAGGAAGGAGAACTGCTAAGGTATGCACATTAGTGTCCTTCGCTTCAATCATGTTTGGTGATTAGGGGCTGTACAGCTCCTAATACACAGTCTCCAAATTGCTCCAATTACAATTACTAACAGTTTTGCTTTCCTTCCCCTTGCAGGAGCTGTTGCAGTGTTTGTTGTGGGTCACATAAAAACATCCTGGGCAATGTGGGGTGAAGTGGCTCTTGCCCTGTTCTCATTTCTTATTGCTGCTGCTGTATATATCATGGACACTGTTCGTAACATCTGGGTGTGCTACGCATCCTATGTTGTCTTCAGAATTATCTACATGCTGCTAATCACGATAGCAACGTGAGTATCTTTTTAATGTAAATTGCTCTCAAGGATGCGAGCTTTCACGTGAGATTTTCCATGTAACCAGAGCCTCACCTACCTGGAATCCGGAAACCTGTCACAGGGGTTTGTGTTGTAATTCAGGTTGGAAACTGAGGCACAGAGACATATCTGGCTGGCAGTCTGCCCAAGCTTAGAAGTCTTACGACACTAAAGTGACTATTTCTAAATATCAGATAGTGCTGCTTGCCAGGGGAATGTTTTTCGTAAACATAGCTGGAGCAAGGTAAGGAGAGGACAGTGCTTTGCCTGTGTTGAAGTGTCATCTTTCCCTAACCTGTAAGGTGGAAAACACTTTCAATGTTATCTGTCACTTCAGGGAGTAAAACACAGCTGATGTTGAACCACATGTGCATAATCTTTACAAGACAGCTCAAACACAATATGAAGGGTGATGCTGAAAAAACTTCTGATCAGAAGGATGTGGGAGGTTACAGATCACACTGCAGTAGGCTGATGCTTTAAGATTGCCAGCTGTCAGTGCAAAGTAATTTAGCTGCAAGAAAAAACTCGACCAGTCTATGTTGCATAGTCTTCTTGTCCAGAGATGTTCCTCCTATTCTTATATTTCCCTGTATTTTCCCTGTTCTTATGTTTCTGGTCATTGCTTTTCTTCCAGGTTCCAGATTGCTACAAATCTCAGTGTGGAGCGTTATGCCCTCGTGTTTGGGGTCAATACTTTTATTGCCTTAGCACTTCAGACTCTGCTTACTTTGATTGTTGTGGATGCCAGTGGACTTGGGTTGGACATCTTCACTCAGGTATGACAGACTCTCTTAGCTTTACTGATGGGAGGGAGGAGAGTAAACCAAGCTGTAGAGATTCTCGACAACCTTCTCTGGGTCAAGGGTTTCACAGAGGAATAATCATGATTCCTGATATTTTAGAAGGGGAAGAGACCTCATGTCTTACAAATTTGATAACTGCTTGGTTTAACCACTCTTATTTTCCTTTTTTTTTCTTTCCCCTTCTCTGCAGTTCATGATTTATGCCTCTTACTTTGCGGCCATCTCACTGGTGTTCCTGGGCAGTGGTATATACAGTATTGTGAGAGCTTACAGAAGACAAAAGCAGATGGAAAGCAGATCTCCTGAAAGCCAGTAGTGCAACAAGTGAAGACGTTTGGTGGGCTACATACAGAGTTATAGATCTGGGGTTTTTTAATCTCTGCCTTTTCTTCTCAAGGCAGTCTCCTTAATAGTATTTGATCCATATTTATACTACGTAAGTAGCACATTTTAGAAGGTAAATGTATTAGCTCTTACGTAAGTAAGAACAAATATCTTCTTTCTAAAATGCCTTTTGTTCTTCTGATACATCTATGGGATGTGCAGCAAAGAACAGTAAGCTTTCTCAAAGAATGAAAGCCTTGGGAGGTGTTAGCCTAAGGCCATGCATCCCAAGGCTGCCAGTGAAAAGGCAGCTTTGTGACTGTCTGGTCAACTGCTGCTCTCTCTGTCACTGAGGTGCTGCTCCAGGGCAGAAGTGGGGGCACACTAGTAGACCTCGATATGGAGAGCCCCAAGCCTGGGACATGAGGTGGCCTTGGCCCTGGGCCCTGCAGCTCTCGCTGTGGCTGCCCCACGATGGTTCCGTTGGATGGTTCCATTCTGATGACTTCTTTTTCTGGCATATGCATGTGCTTCCCTGGGTTGCCTGTACTGTTTCTGCTGTTCGTGTCTGTCACCCCTGCTGCCAGAGTTTTACCATAGCTGAGCATGGTGCTTCCCAGAAAACTTAACTGTGTCCTGGGGCAACTCGTGACACTGGTGAATTGACTGTCATCAGCAATGCTTGTGCTGTGAAAGCCTGTGCCCAAAGGACTGTGAAGATGGAGGTGAAGTTTAGAGGGAGTCTGAGGAGGCAAAAGGCTAATCCAAGGGACCCTTGGGCATCTTTGCCTTTGTTCTGTGATTACAGGAGTCACTGCCTTAAAACTGTGGGGGCTGGGCTATTTCAACGGGGTGATGGAAATTAATATAGCACTGAGAAGGTGACTTGTGGGATTTTAAGCTATTCTTTGTGACCTTGGAGAATTGGGACTCTGGTGACTAAGTAGACACATTCAGTTATGGTATGTAGCAGAATGGCTGCCTGAGGCTTTGAAAAGTGCTGATTTCTGGTCTGTCAGTTTCCTTTATTTTAAAATGCCTTTATGCTTCTGGTGTGTCTCTGTCCACTAGTTCTACCTCTTCTTTCCACCTAATCAGGGCAATGAATGTCTGGAGTGGGCAGTTATTTTATTTTGTCCAGTCTAAGCAATTTGGGACTTGCCTCATACCTGTTTTTAAAGGAATAAATTATATTAATTTTTCCAAATTGCTTCAGTGCTGGGAATGAGTTGCACAGAGTTGTCTTGAGCTTGCACACCTGGATACTCCGGCACCATGACCAGCACAGCAACAGGTATCTGTAGTATACTGTGGAAACAGTCTGTGGACTGTCCCTGTTGTGCAGGTTGTGCTATGGTTAAGCGTATGGGAGAACTGGCAACGGAGGGGATGCAGAGCAACACACTTTCCTCCATGTTTTCTCTCTGTGTGCTGGATAGAGCTTCTTCCAGTCAGAGCCTGAAAAAGCAGTTTTGGTTCCCTGCTTGTTTTTAGTGCCACAGAGACGTCAGAGTACCGGGGCTGGGAAAGGCTGGCTGGGACAGGGAGAGCCTTTCTCATCACTTCTGTGAGCCTTGGCCTTTACCACACAAGGTGAATGATTAATGTGCTTGGGATGTGCTGCCTTGGGAGTCCTTCCAGGCTGGCTGCTCAGGGGAACATACTCCCCAAAGCTTATCTGTATTTGCAGCCTGCCTCTTAAAACAACCCTGTAAAGAGGGGGTCGGCTGTACTGGCACACACTACATGTGTAAAATTAACTGCCTTATCCTGAAATGGAAACTTGAAGCCACTCATGTATATATTCCGTTCTTTACTGTTTTTTGTTTTTGAAAAGATAAAGTCTGAAGCTATGAAATGCTAGCTGAGGACCTGCCCTGGGAAAGGGATAGTAAGTGGATATCCTGTCCTTTGAGGTCTTCAGTCTGATAGTAGTTGCAGCAGGGCATGAGGAGTGGGAGTACAGCACTCATGTCAAGTGACCGAAAGAAGCAGCTCAGTTTTAATGTGTTTGCCTACAGAGAACAAATCTTTGATGAGGAACAACCCAAATATTTAAAAGCAAGTAAAAAATTAACCAAGAAATTACAACAATAATGGTGATCTTTCTACCAAAGTAATGAAACTGTGGCACCTGCAATAGAGAGGCATGCTTACATGGTGTATATCTTCAGGCCTGTGAATGTAGAGAAGCCACACCTGGCTGTTGTTCAGGTTTCTGTGCCAATGCCGTTGCTGTGGTGATGACGTGTCTGTAGAGCCTGACTGAAGGTGTATACAAAGTTACTGATGCCTATGAAATTCTGTGAACACGTTGACATTGTTGGTTTCTATTTGAATGGTTATTTTTGTTAAATAAAAATACTTTGAGGTATTCTGTGTGACCAGTGTTTGTTTTGTGTTTTAATACCTTGGTAATCTGCAGCACTGCTCCTGAAGGTTGTTCTGAGCATCTTTGTTACAAAGAGAGGGTGAAAAATACAAGACGAAACCTTCAAAAATAAGCAGTTCTTCAAGAAGCTGATAATTGTTGGGTGGTTTGTATAGGTTTGCAGAGCTCCATGAAGGTGTTTTGCATTGAGGATCCTTAATTGCTTGGTTCAGAAATACCCCTCTAGTTTCAGTGCAGACTGGCTCAGTAAGGGAGGGGGCAGGGACTGAGGCAGGGTTACCCTGCTCAGGATGCATCAGTCTCACTGAGGGGTGTCTGTAAGGGAAAGCGGATGTAGGTTTGCCTACAGGAGAACCTTTCTATTTACATTGACCTAATTACAAAATTAAGACCTTAAGGAATAAATGTTTTAAGCTCTCTATTCTGGCACACCCACGCTTGACTACTTTAGAAAGCTCTACCTGTCGTATGCCTCTAGAAGAGATGACTGGTACCTGATGGTACAGGCTGGGCTGGAGGGTGAAGTGCTGTCTGAAGATTTACCAGTTTGATGTAGGTAGTAGCCCAACAAGCCCTGTGCACCAGGCTAAAAATGAGAAAAAAGGTGGTCTGGGGAGAAAGCAGGGGAGCCTTTTTTGTGCGTGTTTCCTTGAGAGCCTTATTGCTGAGGCAGGAGGGATAGAACTGTCAGCATGTCAGGATTGCTCTGCATTTCATTTGCCTGCCTTCCCTGGATGAATGCAGGAGTCAGCTGTGTATGGATGAGCTTCTTGACAGCGTGGGGGATTAAAATCTGCTTGTGTACGACAGGAGGGTAACTAGTAGCTTATACAGGTATAGCATTACCCTTTAACAAGGATTCAAGTATTTCCCATCTCTAGTACTGGTGAAAGGTGGTGTGACAAGAACCCTGAGGCTGCTCTCGTCTTTGAGCAAAGCAGGTCTGTGTGAACTGTGGCAATCCTTCTTGCTCCTCCCATTGCATCCTGCCACACCAAGTACAGCTGAGAGATCTGAAAAGGGACACCCAGCTGCTGCCAAGCAGCTGAATTTCTGCATTAGAGATACAGCACACGGTGCGGTTTGATGGAGAGGAGATAAGTGCTACACACGGCTGGGGTGTCTGCCTGGGATGCTGTGACTGTTTCTTTGTTCCAGTTGATGCTGGAGGCTGCTGGAGGAGAGTGCTACCACTGAATCTGTGTCCTGCACCTGGCTTGCTCTGATACTGGTAAGATGTGCGTATAGTTCTTGGGCTTTAAGATCCCTCTTAGAGGAAGATGCTAGGTGCTGGGCTTGTTCTGTCCAAAAAGTGAGAGATAGTAAGAGCTGCCAGAGGCTGCTATTTCAGGAGGAGCACCCACTGCTGTCCCCCTGGGCTAGCACTGGCTGTGACAGCCCACTCAAGGCATGGCAGGGTTACACTCAACTGCACTGTAGCTGTGTGCATGTGTGAAACAGCCAGCTGCTCCAGCAGTGCTCTTGGGGAAAGGGATCTGCATGAAAGCGATAACGTTGTCTTCTCTCTCTGTGATAGTACTAGGAAGAAAAAAGAAGGACTTTGGTTATGGAAGGGGCAGGAGACTGGGAGCTCTGGACCCTGTTCCCAGGGACCATTGGCAGTGTCAACTGTTTCCTACACAACACAGGAAAGGTGTTAAGGTGCTTGTTTAATATTGCTTTGGAGGTGTTATGCAGCCTTTCTCTGTCAAATGTATTTGCTTTGCATGAATCGGTGTTCCCAAAACACAGTGGGATGCATTAGTGACATGGAAAAGAGCAACCAACATGTCGGGGCCTGTCCTTGGAGACCTGCATTGTTTAGTTGTTGTTTCCATTGTGTTTTTTTGTAACTGTGCTCTGTAGCTCCCTCACAGATGAGAACATCTGAAAACCTGGATTTAATGTCATGCAGGTTAATGAATGCATGCGTGAATTTAGATTGACCTTAAGATATCATTAAATTATCACTATCAAACATCACAGCTTGATCTTCCTAGAGTAGGATCTAATCCTTGTCTTTACAATTATGCTGATTTACAATCAGCTGAACAGTGCATCTCTTGTGAATGAAAGGGGAAGCTGTGGTTTGTACGACGAAGGATAGTCTTACGATAAAAGCAGAGCAAAAAGCTTTGGTATTATGCCCAGTTCTCTTTATTTGAGTCTGCTATGAACTTGTCAAAACTACCCGTCTGTGAAATGTGGAAAATTAGAAATTCAGAATACTGCCTTCAGGAGCAGGATAACTGCATGACCCTGGGCGAGGTCAGTGGTTGAAGTTTTCCAGGTACAGAACCGTTGCCAAGCAGGTACCTGAGTGTTATCTCAGGTGAATATCAGGGAGCCCTCCAGCCCCCTGAAAACAATGTCAAAGCCCTTTCTCTTTCTCACTGTGTGGTGTAAGATTAGCAGAAATCTCAAGGCTGTGGAGTCCAACCTTCTCCTGCGGCATGTAGTCTGTGATGACAGATGTCTTCAGAGACCTCCTGAACCCCACCTTGGAGGTGTGTTTAGTTTTTCTGCCCTGTGTGACTTTGAGTGAAAGGGGTAACTCTACCCTCATGACTGAGAGTTATCAATGTCCTGGCTAAATTTAT